CAGCCATGCACATGAGGGTGGACTTACCTACGGTAGCAAGATATTGGAAGTGGCTCACCTTCTCCACAGACATATTCCACATTGACTTTCTTATAAGAAACTAAGATCCATGTTGTTAGGTTACCATGCCTAAGAGTGGCACTAGTGCATTAAAAGCATTGATGGGATTTAGAAGCCTGTGTCCCCACGTCTCAATTCATAGCAGGGTCTTTACCAGGATGTAAGGCTGATAAATTCCAAATACCTAGTCTTTTTTGTTTTGTTTTTTGTTTTTTGTTTTTTTTTTATGATCTTCCATCTGCTGATTCACTCCTCAAATGGCTGCAACAGCTAAATATGGTTCACTCTGAAGGGGCCTCTTTGCACGATGCACATGGTTTAGGGACATAAGATCTTGAGCTATCCTCTGTTGCTTTCCCAGGCCATAAGCAGAGGGCTGGATCCGAAGTGGAGCACCCAGGACTCAAACTGATGTCCATATGGGATGCTGGCTCCACAGGTGGGAGCTTATTAAGGCACGATGCTGGCACTATCTAACTGCATTTACGCTCACTCAGGCTTGTAAGTAGAATTTCCTCCAAATGAAATTTGGGCAAATCATCATTTGCTCTAGTAAGGGTTCGTTGGATGTGAGGTGAAATATGATTTTGCATCACAATGTGAGCCTCTTCTATCCCTGATTTGCTCTCCATTTCTCTTTCTGATATTCTCTTGCTATGTATTGTTGGTTTGTAATGCCGTGTTTGCACAAAATCTGTTGCTGCAGAGAGCAGCATCTGGGAGAGACTGCATCCATCTCTGATGCAGGTAAACTGATGGAGAGAGAATTTTGGGTACACAGATTATACTTCTGCCCTTATTTCCGTTACAAAGACCAATGAACTAATTGGGGTTTTTAATGCTGCATTCTTTCAAAACAAAGTAATTATAACGCCAACTTTAAGTAAGTAGACATCTCAGTATTTACTAGTAAACCCTCTTTATGGCACAATGTAGTCACACACTACTGAATTCATGAGCATTGCTGTTTTAACCCTTTTATTGCAAAGTCAGAGAGAGAGAGAGAGAGAGAGAGAGAGAGAGAGAGGAGAGACACAGGATAAGATCTTCCGTCCGATGATTCACTCCCCCAAGTGACCACAATGGTCTGTGCTGCGCCTATCTGAAGCCAGGAGCCAGGAGCTCTTCCGGGTCTCCCACACGGATGCAGTGTCCCAAGGTTTTGGGCCGTCCTCGACTGTTTTCCCAGGCCACAAGCAGAGAGCTGGATGGGAAGCAGAGCTGCCAGGATTAGAACCAGGACCCATATGGGATTCCGGCGTGTTCAAGGCAAGGGCTTTAGCTGCTAGACCATCACACTGGGCCCTGAATTTAAGTTTAGTGAAGAAATAGATTAACCTTTCCAGAGAGAAGTGAGAATGCAGAAGGACTTATGGGTGGAGGGAAAAGTGTAAGAAACTGCTCCTCTCTATATAGGAATGAGTAGTTGTATTTGTTCTTTATGGTAATAGCAAACAGATATCCAGACCCTGGGTATGCACAACCTAGTACACCGAAGCCATGTCACAGAGCATCATTCGGCAGTTCTGTGCTCGGAGTATGTTATGTTGCTATAAGCATGTGCTTCACACTTCCGTAGGCAGATCAGGGAGTGTCTGATGAGCCTCCAGATAGATATTCCAACTCTTGATATTGCTGACTTTCAAGGACTGAAACACTAAGTTTTCTAAGTTATTTTATAGGAAATGATGCATGTGTTTGACCTTGGAGGAACTTTTCTTTGAAACTCATATAGTAGATATAAGATGAATGTTCATCATTTTTTTTAGATTTATTTGTTTTTTTTGTTTATTTATTGGAAAGGCAGATTTACAGAGAAGGAAAGACAAAAATATCTTCTATTTGCTGGTTCACTCCCAAGTAGCCACAATGGTTAGAGCTGAACATATCCAAAGCCAGGGAGAGCTTTCTTTTGGGTCACACATGTGGTTGCAGGATCCCAAGGGTCTGGGCCATCCTCCAACTAATTTCCTGGGCCATCTGCAGGAAATGGAAAGTGGAGCAGCTGGGACATGAAGCAGTCACTAGACAGGATCCCAGTGCCTGCAAGAGTAGGAATAGTTCATTGAGCCGTCATGCTGGGCCCAATCATGTTCATTTTTGTGTTGTATATCATGAGGAAAGAAGATTGCTTCTTTCTCCAGATATAGTAGGATAGATACATAAGATTTTCATTCATTATGTAAGAATATTTTGAGATCAAGGTATTTTGAGGTTAGTGAGGGAGAATCTGCCAATTTTATTACAAATGTTCTAATAGTTTTTGCTTACTAAAATGCACACAGAGAGACACACACCCTTGGGACCTCATAGAGTTCTTCTGAGGGCAGGTGAGTGACGTATAAAGGTGTCACACCTTCATCTGTAAGACACTTGTTTGTCATTGTCAGTCAGTGCTGCTATAGCATTCCAATATAACATGTCTTTCCCTTCTGTTTGTGGAATTTCTGGGAGTAAATAAGAGGGGCAAGCACTATTTCTTTCACTCTACCAGTTTTATTAGGAGGAAAGTAAGAGACAAATATTATTCACTTTGAGCATGGCAAATTATTTTGCTGGTTCTGCCTTGGTGACACTTGCTCTTCTTGGCAATATTGATTTGTACCTGGCCTTTAACTGCACTCGGTTAACATAGGCAGTCTCCCTTCAAATCAAGGTAACATGGTAAGATGGTAATTTTGCTCAACTCTGAGAGATCTAAATTTCTGCTTTACAAATTGAGGTTTCAGCATAGAGACAATCCTCGTGTTTTGAAGTGTAATATTTTACCTTGAATTTTACAAAATCATGGAAGAGACTTGCCTGCAGGTACCGTGCTTATTGACTTTTAGAATACAATTTCTGCTTCTTTGGTGCCACCCAATACGCTCAGTCGCATTGCTAGTCCAGGGGTCTCCTTTGTAATGCCTTGGTAAATGGAATTTTTCTTTTTCTTAAGTCCTCAGAGATTCAGTGAGTGTTTGCTCAATGGCTTTTAAAGCTGGGCCTCAAAACTCTTCTGTTTATATATATAGGGAGGAAAATTCAAAGGACCCATGTTTCTTTGTTCTCATCCAACCTCACAATTAGCTGAAGTTTCTTGTGTGTAGCTAGGAGGAGGAAGGGGTGGCCCACCAGGCGTTTTACTGCCTGGGAGAAAGTGCTCAGCCAGTTTCTTTGTCCTTTTTGTCAGGGCCCACTGCCTCCCTAATTGTACTGCTCTAGGGAAGCACGCGCCTTTGGGAGCATTATCTGATTCCTACAGGACTTGCAGGAGTGCTTTGTATACTGACCCTTAACTTGAACACAAATAATATCTTTTCAATCCCCTACCCGGGCTGTTGCCTCAGGCTTGGATACCTAAGAGCTTTAGTTCAGCCAGGGGTGTGGACATATTTGTACCAGTCTTGGCCTCGGGATTTTTTTTTTTTCTCCTCTAGTTATTTTACCTGCAGTTTTGCCACACCTGTTAGGAGGCAAAGCTGAAAACATGGGGTAGGGCTAGAAGCTATGGAAGCTGGAGGGGAAAGAAGGCAAGAGCAGCAGCTGCTCTTGTCAGCAAGGGGATAAGTGTAAAGAGATTCATAGTTATTTGCAGAGCAAATGGGGACGTGACATTCGGCAGTGGAATGCGAATGCATGAATGGAATGGAGTGGGCATGCGACAGTTAACATTTAGACACATGCTCTTTGGATTGAATGAAATGGCAGTGTCCACTTTTCTTCCCCACATGAAAGAATGGAAGTACAATAAAATAATTTTATTGATCCTACAGCTAAAAATGAAACATTTTCCAACCCCCTTCTTCCTTTGAGAGGCTGCCCTTCTCCAGATTTTAACATAGGCTGGGGTTCTCAGGTATGCTTCATTTGGAGATCCAGGGCCCTTGTTTGCTTTATAAAGGGCTGTGTTTCCCTGGTTGCTTTTCTTCCATTCTCTGCTCTTGAAGAAACGAGATTTCCATGTATCCCAGTGTGTCACCAATGAAATCCTGACCCAAAGATCAGTTGTTCCTTCTAGAAATGGGCTCTCTTTCACTAAGGTGGGGGAATGAGCAATGTGCAATTTATCTGACCAGACTGAGAGTTGTGATGGCATGGGCAGAGCCCGGGACCCAGATGCAGAAAGTTGAATTTCAAAATTCCAATTCTATAAGCAATGCATGGGCAGTTGCTTCCAACTCTGATAGTAAGGCAATAAAATTCCTTAAAGGTAAATTGGGAAGAAATCAATGCAGTATTACTGTTAAAATTTTGCTGAATACTCACTTTGTACTTGGGCCTGTGCTTTGGGGACTCTGCATTGCCTAGAGGGCTATATGAGCTAGCATGCTTTGAATTGATCAATCATTGACTCTAATTCATGATGCAATGATCTTTTCTTTACTTACATGGCAGAAAATAGTAGCAGGAATTGAAAAAAAAATATCCAAAAAGGAGGCCATATTTAGATGTCCTGTTATGTTCTAATTATTGTAGTTGGGTTTCCCTAATATTTTTGATCCATTTCCATTCTTTCTTTTTCCCCCTAATTTAAGATATTCAATCCCAGAAGTAGTCTTTCTCATTAGGAACATCATCAAATACATCCATACTTACATATTCCTGAATAAATAACAAGTAGTAGTCTTCTATTAAGAATTCCTAGGCAGTAGTGAGCACTGGGCACACTTGGCATGGGTGTTGAGTAAGTTATCCTAACTTTCTGCCATTAAACATTCTTGAGGAAGCCAGTCTCCAAAAGCTCCAAAAGTGGTACAGACAGCATGATATATGGTTGCTACACACACACACACACACACACACACCTACACAGAGGGTGGTCTTACTATTTCTGTTTATTCCAAATAGATGATTAGATTTTTGATGTGAAGTGTTTCAGATGTGAGCATCTCTTCAGTGGAGTGATCTGCAGAGTGTGAGGCTAATATGGGCATTTCTATATATATATTTTTTCGCAGCCACAGTATACGAACCTGGGGCTTCTGAACAGCATGGACCAGCAGATCCAGAATGGCTCCTCGTCTACCAGCCCCTACAACACAGACCATGCACAGAACAGTGTCACGGCACCCTCTCCATATGCTCAGCCCAGCTCTACCTTCGATGCCCTCTCGCCTTCGCCTGCCATCCCCTCCAACACCGACTACCCAGGCCCACACAGCTTCGACGTGTCTTTCCAACAGTCGAGCACCGCCAAGTCGGCTACCTGGACGGTAAGAGCAGGGGTGCACTTGTCACCAAGGTGATCCCTAAATGTAAGGATGCCTCAAACTGCCAGGATTAGAGATTCCAATTTCAACATGCAAATTTTATTGTTGAATGTTTAACATTGAGCAAGAGGAAAAGAGCAGTAGTACCATTTGGTGAGAAAAGTCTGGATCTACCACTTAAACATCCACCCTGGTATTTTAGCCACAGGGTGCCAGCCTGCATTGTATTCATGTGAGCTTTTTTGTGTGAAATATTTTGGGAACATGTATAGTGTTATCAAAATGATTACTATCATTTAAAAATCACGTGCCCGCAGTCTCCATCAGGTATAGCACTGCCATTATCATTATTGTGAACAAGGAAATGGCACAGTGAGGTGCACTTTTCGAAAGTGAGAAGCCTGCTTCATGGTATAACAGGCTAAGCTATTGCGTTGAGTGTTCGTATCCCATATGGGTGATAATGGCTTTGGAAAAGGAGTGGAAAATAGCTCAAATATTTGGGCCCTTGCTACCCATATGGGAGATCTGGGTAATTTTCCTGGCTTCTTCCAGGACCACCCCTGGTCATGGGGTCTACTTGGGAAGTGAACCAACAGATGGAAGATTTCTGTCTCCTTCTCTATAACTCTTTCACATAAATAAATAAATGTCCCTTTTTAAAGTGAATAAAGGAAGTATAGGTTGGTGCCAAGTAAAAAATGTGATATAATTGTATTGAGAACAAGTGAATTGCTTACTTGTGTCTAAAGGATTTATTTATTTGAAAGGCAGAGCAATATAGAGAGAAGAGACAGAAGGATATTCCAGTGACTGATTTACTCCCCAAATGGACAGGGTTGCCAGGGCTAGGCCATTTGGTAGTCAGGAGACTGAAGCTCTATCTCCTCCAAAACAGAAGTGGCAAGGTCCAAACGTTTATGCCATCTTCCACTGTTTTCCCATGTGTACTGGCAGTGTATTGAGTAGGAAGCAGAGCAGCCAAGACTTGAACCAGCACTCCAGTATGGGATGCAATCATCAGGGGTGGTGGTTTCTTACTTCTTCTGGAGTATACTGGAGTATATTGGAATATATATTCTTTCTTGCTTTTTTCACCATTTTATGTTGGGTTTTTAAGAGCTTTCTAAAAGTAATTTTATTTTAGCTCTTTCCTTTTGCATTTTATATTTCAACTATAACTGTTAGCTTAAACTTGACCTTCCTACCTTGTGTTATTTAAAAGGAGTCACAATCTTTAGTTTCTTCTGTTAGTAATCTTGGAGATGGTTCTGTCGGTCAGTAAACAGAAGAGCTTATAACCCTTAAATAGTTTGTTGATGGACTTAAGTGACATTTTACTGAGAAACTGCTAAAATAACAATTTTGTGGCTGGAATATTGATGTGTCTTAAGACACCAGTGGAACACTTAAAATTGCTGATCTTCAAGCTGACAATCGTTTCGTTTACTCAGCAATCCACTCTGTTGTAAAGGTTGGCACAGCTGAAAAGATTGTGGGTGTAGAGGGTCACCAAGTCAAAAACTGATTTCCCTTCTGAAATCATGATTCTGAGAATTGTGCAGAAATCTTAAGGAATTTTAAAAAGTTCCCACGATCCTAAACTATCATCACTCAATGTCCTTCTCCCAGAGAAGTAAATTGTCACAGACAAAAAATGTTGGGTATCTCTGCCTAAATTTCAGGTGACAAAGAAGGAAAACGTTTTGATGGGGCTCACTGGCAAATTGTCCTGCTATGTGACAACAGTCCTAAGAATGGCCTGAGTAGAAGGGGAGACCCCGGGGAGGAAAGGCACCCACATGATGGCTTCATCAGCCCTGTGTCCTCAGCAAAGGCCGAACTCACACTGTACCTCGGATGAGAATGAGGACAATGAAACCTGCCTTGTTTCCTTAAGATGATAGACTTAAGAATAAGCATAAGAAATTTCTGGAAGAATTTAGATTCCTGTTGACTACTTTGTCTGCCATTCCTAACTGACTGATGATAGGCAGTTTGACTTCTCTTGGATTTCCATTCTCTATTCTATGTATTTTGCAGAATAATTATCCTATTAATATATAATACTGATTTTTTTTGTTAAAGTTCTTTCTTGCTTGTGACTAGGCTTATTCCCAGTAGTATTTTTCTGAACCCAAGAAGCTTGGACCTTTATTTCACTGGTTGCTGAGATCACCTAAAAACATATAAGACTTGCATCTTCTGCACAGTAGCTTCTTGTCCTTTGAGTCAAATTACACGTACTGCTTCTACACAAAGACTCCACACTTGAAATCATTTTCTCATACATTTGTCTTACGTGAACTTTAGAGGCAAGTCTGTTCTTCCAGGTTTTATAAATGAGGAAGCTTTAAGAGGTCAAGGCCACAGACTTAATAATTGGACATGGAAGGAGTTGAACTAGAGGCTTTCTCAATCACAGTTTCAGTCTTTAGCTAGTCTTGACTCTTGAAGCAGTGACTTCCCTTTATTGATAGAGTCAGGGGCATGCTTGAGCATATGTATATATATATGAATTCATATTCATATATATATGAATTCATATATATGAATTTTTCTTTGAATTTTAATTTAAATGATGAATATGATTGTTTCTACAAAATTAAAATATTTTAAATTTTTTCCAGTGACTTAAAGTGTGATAATATGTTTCTATATTCTCCATTTCACAATCACGTATATAATTCTGCCAAATCGACACTTAATTTAGTTTCAGATTTTCCTTTTATGCCACAATTTAATTGGCACTGATTGTAGAGTCTTATCACTTATCATAGTATAATAGTGGTCTAGTGTTGTAGCTGGGAATCATCCACCACAAAGGCATTTTAGAGATGGTAAGAAACTGAAGTGTAGATTCCAACTGTATGAAACTTTCTAGCAGCATGTAGGGCATGCCCCCCTCAAATCCAATCTTTCTAAATTGATTTTCCCCACCTAAAGTAGAGTCAGCAATACTTTCTTTACCGTAAAGATTGCATGATGTGCAAATGTACCTGTAAGTATCAAGATAGTCCTAGGACTATTGCTCTTTACTGAATCTGAATTCAAATCCCTTATTTTTCAGGAGTTTACTGTAGTTTGGCTGAAGGTTTATTTTTCTGAGAGCCAATACTTTGAGAAAATGGAGAGGAAAATATATATTACTTTTCATTTATGTTTTTATGCTGTTAGTATGCATAGTCTGAGGCACTGGGCTAATAGCCATTCTCCAAGTGTAGGGATAGGTGGCTTGGGATGGCAATAGCTGCTCCCGAATGCAGACTGCAGCAGCAACTGTGGGCTCTCCTGAACCTGCCTGAGCTGGTGCAGTGTGCGTTGGCCAGCAGCAGAAAGGACTCTTTCCAGATTCAAGGACCTGTTTACTTTGGGTTTTTATTCATTATTTCCAATTTGCTGCTTCATGTTTTTTCCATGTTCCTGTATCACATAAAGGAAAACAGTGGTTCTCACTTATTATTGAATAATTTGCATATTAATTTATACATAGTACTAGAACCTAACCACTCACAAGCATGGAACCAGTTCAATAAACAAGGGCTAAGGGCTGTTTTTGACAGTGATTGGGGTGTCTGTTGGATTATTGCATGAAATATGGGAATGCCTGGGTTTGAGTCTTAGTTCACTTTTTACACTAGCTTTATAATAACACATATTTTAGGAGGTAGAAGAGGATGGCTCAAGTATTTATGTGTAGGTTATTTGAGTTAATTTCTCAAGACCTGGTTTTGGCCTGGTTCAAATCTGGATGTTCTGAACGTTTTGTATATGAACCACGAATGCCAGATTTTATTCTGGCTCTCTGCCTTTCAAATAAATAATAATTGGAAAGTGAAAACATGTGGCATTTCTACTCCCAAATGGAAAAAGGACTTCCAAAATAACTCTTAAATATATAGGGACAATTGAATACTACATTTTCTACCATTACCTTACAAGGCCTTGATACACTTACATAGCAGTATTAAACTTGTAACTGTTATTAAAGAGCTATTCTACTATAATAATATGGTGGAAAATGGTGGTGGAGAAAACTGAGAGGGAGGATGGTGGAGGGTAGAAAAGAATTCTTATAGAAGTACATCATGGAAAATTATAATAATAAAACATTTAAAATATTTTCCATCTCCTAAAATTTGTGCCACATTCCTTTGAATTTTTTTTTTTTTAAGTTACTCAAAAGGTAGACAGAGATTGGCTCACTCCACAAATGCCTGTCATGGCCAGAGATCGACCAGACTGAAGCCAGAGCCTGGAACACCATGTCTATCTTCATGTGTACGACAGGAATGTAGTTGCTTGAGTCAAAAGCAAAGCCAGGATTCAAACAAAGCAGTTCCACTGGGAATAGACGCATCTGTAGCACTGTCTTAATCTGTGTGCCAAATATCCACAGTGAATGGCATCCCTATAATAAAATACTATATGACCAGGACAAAGAGTCATGTGTCCTGATTTGGAATCTTCTGTGAGCTGCTGATAAGGAAAGAAAAGCTCTGTGTGGCACCTGCTTGCATGAAGGAAATACTTGCAAGGAGTACTCTGCGAAGCAGAGGGATTTTTCTGTGCTGAACTTCAATGATGTGACCTGGTGAATACTGGGCAGTCTGTTTTTATGACTGACTTCACACTCCTTTGTCTGGAGACTTATTTTTCATAGCCCACTGCACACACTACTCTCTCTGTGCATTCACCATGAAAATCCTTGGGCTGTGCTCACACGGAGCAAATGATCCTGCCCTTGGGAGGTAGGATCATTTTTTGCTATTGTGTCTTTCTCTTTTTGTAAACTCCGGGGTCTTACAGGGAAGAAACACTGACCTCAGGTCCACCACAATATGCAGTTTGCCGCATACCCTAAAGAAAGTTGGCTTGTATCATCCTGGGGGTTAAAGAAAATAATTGCAGTTCGCAACAGTGTCCCTCCACTCAGACTCTGATCATTAAGTGTCTGTGAATGTGTTCCCTTCTGCATGTAGCCATGATTTATAGAGAGCATT